GGTTTGATGGCGGCCCCCATCAACGTAATTGTCTTTGCCAGACTGCACATGAGACCTCTGCAACTCTGGTTTGTCCACAAGTTTCATCCACAGTAAAAGGTAAAGGTTCCCTTGCTCGAAAGCCAGTCGAATCTGACTCTAGGGCTGCGGTGCTCATCTCCGTTTCCAAGCTGAAGAGCCAGCGCTGTCCGAAGATGTTTCCGTGGTCATGTGGCCAGCATGACTAAACACCAAGGCGCACGGAACGCTGTTCCCTTCCCACTGACGTGGTACCTATTTATCTACTTGCAATTTCTTGCTTTCGAACTGCTAGGTTGGCAGTTCGCAGAGTCAACCTCAATCCCTTCATCTTGTCTTTCCAATGGCTGTTTTGGGCTCGCTGCTCTGGTGGACAGATCCTGTAAATCTACTAGCAGGAGCCCCATTTCATCCGCCCGTGTCAACCCTGGGGTTGGGGCGCACACCTGAAGGGGATTTGTGTCGGGGCTCAATGGGAACCCCATGTAGCCCACAATCACATCAATTTTCTGGAGTTGCTGGCGGTACAATATGCACTCTGGTCTTTCCACCACCTGGTGGCCCAGCAGGTAGTCACTGTCCTGACGGACAACACGATGACCCTGTGTTATATCAACCAACAGGGAGGTACGGTATCCAGGGGACTGTGTCATCTAGCCTTAGAAATATGGAATGAGTGCCAGTCAGGGAGCACGTTCCTGAGAGCCACTCATCTTCCGCGTACGTTGAACGTCCAAGCGGACTTCTTGAGCAGAGGAGGGGCATTGGAGCATGAGTGGGAGCTCAATTGGCTATATCTCCAACTGACCTTTCGCCTCTGGGGCCATCCAGAGGTGGATGTGTTTGCAACACACAAAAACAAGAAGTGCCGTCTGTTTTGTTCCAGAGCAGGGACAGATCCTCTGTCGCTGGGCAATGGTCTTCTGATCCCGTGGGCACGTCTTCACGTGTTCCTCTTCCCTCCGATTCCTCTAATCTCCAGAGTGATAGTCAAGCTAATGCAGGAACGGCCACGATGTCTCCTAGTGACTCCGTGGTGGCCCCGACAACATTGGTTCCCCACTCTGCTCCACCTATCCAAGGGCTCCCCTCGTTCATTTTCCTCCAGCAGCAAATTTTCTCCTCGCAGGGAGAGGACGGATACTGCATCACGATGTGCAGTGTCTCAGGCTCACAGTCTGGAGGATCCCTTTCAAGAATTCCGAGACAGAGTAGATCACGTTCTGTTGAACTGTCGCAAGTCGTCTACCCGGATTTCTTACACTGGAAAGTGGAAGAAATTCTTGTCTTACCTTGACTTGTTGAGATTGCCACCACCCCCTTCTGATTTGATGGCAATCTTCAGGTTCTTGTTGTCACGTTTGGACTTAGGCCTTAGCTGTGCCTCACTGAAGGTCTATTTAGCCGCAATCTTGGCTAACCACCCACTGATTGACGGGCATTCTGTTTTTTCCCACCCTCATATCAAGAAGTTTCTTAAGGGTCTGTCCCACTTCTTTCCTCCGTCGTGTGGTCCTGCGCCAGCATGGGACCTACCCATGGTGCTTAAGATGCTTATGGGCAGACCTTTTGAGCCGATGGCTACTTGTGGTCTGCAGCTTCTGTCGTGGAAGCCAAAAATACCAGGTGCCATCAGGAGGTCCAGCAGTGGGGCCACGCATGGTGTTTCTTCCACAGGTGGTTTTGCGGTTCCACTTGGGGCAGGACATCCCTCTCAAAGCCTTCTTCCCATCCCCAGCTTCCTCATCAGAAAGGACAATGTACGCATTAGACGTGAGACGAGCCCTTCTATTTCATTTGAAACGAACACAACTCTTTAGGAATGACAAAGCTTTGTGTGTTTCAGAGGCTGCAGTACAGGAAGGGCTGCCTCTGCGCGGACGCTATTGAGATGGATAGTGTCAGCTATTTAGCGTACTCTGAGGCTGATACTCGATGTCCATTCACTGTGTCGGCACGCAACAAGGGCCCTGGGCCACCACTCGTGGCCGTGTGTAAGGCAGCCGTTTGGCCGGTACCTTCGACTTTCATGCGCCATTGTTCAAATGGATGCTGACTCCAGGAGTGGGGCAGCTGTGGGGAAAGCAGTGCTGCAATCGCTTTGTTTTGCTGTCACTTGGTAAGTGAGCTTGCTATTCTGCCATGTGGGAAGCCACGAAGATGAAAAGGTCACCTGTAACCTTTGGTCATCGAGTGGTCTTCTGTACAGGCACGCGTCCCTCCCTCCTTCCCCCGCTGTGGGCTATTCATTATTTGGTCACATTATTACAGTGGCGAAGGGAGAACTGATGGAAGAACACTTGCCCCTCCCACATCACGTGACAATTGGGTGGGAAAAACACACTAAACACAGTGAGTGGGAGTGGAAGCACTCTTGGGAGTCTAGAAAATTATCTTTAAAAGCTCGCTCGCTCCTCTCCATGGCCGGCCTGCAGAAGTGCAGTCCAATGTGTGCCTGGACAGAGGACCACTTGAAGAGCAAAGGTTACAGGTAAGTGCAACCCCATGTTTTTCCATGTTTGCAACTGCTGTAGATCTGGTGCATTATGTGTTTCAGTGATAACTGAAAGGGATACTTTGGTGGCCACTAGATGGTGATGTAAACCTAGCAATAATTTCCTAGGCTGGTTTTACCTTGCAGATAAAACTGCTTAAATAAGTGGAAAGGAAATTGCTTTGTGCCACACAGTAATGGAAAGGTTTTCTGACCTTTTTTTAAAAAAAAAAGCTAATAAAAACTGTTGCTACTTAAGTGGGGGAAAAAATCCCTAATGTAACTTAGGATATTTATGATCAGCTGTACAAGGTGCCTGTCTTTTGCAATCTTTACACATTTGTTATCTGATGCAAACCTTTTTTTAATTTCCTAATTTCAGAACTTAAATGTAAATAATGTTTTCATCCCAAAGTTAATAGTGTAAATTTAGAGATAGTACAGTGTGTGTTTTATCTATTGGTTAGATGTTTATGTCCTGTGTTAACAGGAGTCATAGTATATCTGCCTTTAGCTATATAAATATTGTTTCTGTAATAAGTTTGGGTAGTTAGAGCATTTGCTGGGTTTCTGCAAGAGGGACCATGAAAATGAGACTATCAACTGCTAAAATTCTCTAATGCTCCATATTGTGATGAAGCAGATTGGGGTTCGGGTATGAAAATTAGTGATAATAAAATAGTGAAAATCTGCTTCCTCAGTTGCTTCAGTGAATTTCTCCACTGGCCCAAGAGCCCCCACAAGCTTATGACTTATACCGTTCCAACCCACGGATGCACCTGCCAGTGCCTGTATTTATGTCTATTTATTCTTTATTTTATTCGATTTATACCCCACCCTCCCCCCCAGAGCGATACCAGCCTGCCCTGTTGACGTCCATTTATTTTTAGGCCTTCAGTAAGATTACTTTTAGGGTCATCATCTCTCTAGGAGAAAATGAACTGTTTTTAAATGTTAAGAACATGAGAGACGCCAATGTTGGATCGGGCCAATGGCCCATACAGTCCAACACTGTCACACAGTGGCCAAAAATACCAGGGGCCATCAGGAGGTCCATCAGCAGTGTTCCCTCTAAGCTGAGTTAGTGTGAGCTAGCTCACAGTCTTTTAGCCTCTGACTCACACATTTTTGTCTTAGGCTCAGAAAGGATGGCTCCAGAGCAAACTAATTTATGCAGTAGCCAAATCACCTGCTCACAACTTTAATGCCAGTAGCTCACAAAGTAGAATTTTTGCTCACAGGACTCCATAGCTTAGAGGGAACATTGTCCATCAGTGGGGCCAAGACACTAGAAGCCCTCCCACTGTTGCCCCCCCCCCAAGCACCAGGAATACAGAGCATCCCTTGCCCCAACCTGAGAGTTCCTGTCTATACCTAATAGCCACTGATGGACCTCTGCTCCATATGTTTATCCAATTCACTCTTGAAGCCGTCCAGGCTTGTAGCCGCTGCCACCTCCTGTGGCAGTGAATTCCATGTGTTAATCACTCTGAATGTATCTTTTCATTTGAATGTATGCACATTTCAAATAGCACTGTGAAGCTGAGTGGTTCAGGAACACTGTATGAACGGCAAAATACAAATAGGCTAGTTTTCAGCTTGCCAAGTAGCTATAGGAGCTGAATATTTGAATGCTTGAGCAGTGCACAACTTTAATACAAAGGCTGCCCCCGTAAAATTGCCACCTGCTAGAGAGGGGCAACATGGTCAGAGTTTAGGCTACTGAATTCTGTATGAGAGGAAAGAAGCAGGACCCCCTTCTCCGACCCCCACAGGTTGAAAGTAACATCTAATCATGGTGATCATAATACTTAATCTCGTACCTTCCGTATCCAAAGCGCCTGGCACGCATTATCGTCTGTAATCCTTACAGCAGCGGAATAAATATTCACGGTCCCCATATGCTTGAGGCCGAGGGAGAACTGGTCTGAGGAGATCATTCCAGATCACAGTTCAGCCACTGTGCTGCGCGGTCTCCAAACCAAGTGATCCTGTGGACTGAGGAATCGGGGAGATCTGGGAGCACTTCAGGTCTCATCCACTGCAGGGAGGATTTGTTGTGGAAGCCGTGCTCATGGTTCGTGGGGAGGGGTGGCAAGATTCATAACCAGCGTCAAAAACACGCTTTTCAGTGTCTTCAAATTTTAATTTCATTTTAGGTGGCTATCTGTCCCTCTTCAAGCACTGTTTAAAGGGGGGGGGAAGGACGTTACGCGGGAAACCTTTGCAGTGCTTGAAGTATTCATCAAGAGCAACCAGTTTTGTATGGTATTAAAAAATGAATGGGAGGCAATGGAAGTGTTTGTTGATTTAGAGACCGTGTGTATCCTGTGAAGGTTGTTTTTTTAATGACATGAAGCCTTTTGGTTACTGGTGATGAAAACATGGAGTGAATAAAGATATAGAGTATTTCAGCTACTCTTCTGGGGAAAATGTGCCTCGCGTATTCATAAACTAACATATTTATACATTTGTTTTTTTCATATAGAGAATGGGGAAATCTGTAAGTCAACATTGATTTAGGTTGTTTTTCTGTTTTCTTGTGCTTTATTGTTTAACCGTAGCTGCCTGCCTCCTTCAGATCAGCTGCTTTTCAGTTTTCAGTGTGCCGCATATTTATATGTTAGCATGTGACTGTGATGGCTTAGCTCTCCTGTCGTATTTTCCTTTTATGTTGCTCTCCCTTTTCTAAGCTAGCACTCTCTTTATCCCCCCCCCTCAAAAAAAAGAATAAATCACATTATGTGTCTCATAAAATATAGGTCACCATTTGCCAGTATAAAACACGTGACATTTCCTTGATCAAAATCCCAGGGGTGTGATGCCCCTCCAATTATCTCAGCAACCAGATGCATGATAGTTTTTTGGATAACCTAACATTGACATAACTGCAAAGATTATGGCTATGATATTGGCAGTGGGGGTGGAGTTAAAGGGGATAAAAATAGGGGATTGGGTTTGTTAAGCTGCAATGTTGTTCGTTTTCCAGTTCCTTTATTTGTCAGTATTTTTCCATACCTTTGAGTCCTTCCACTTTTTTCAAACTGACCATAACAGCAGATAATCTTATCAATAGAGTTTTATGTGATTAGATGTGGCCATTGTTCTGGCACATCATTCAACCTCAGTGGCGCAACATTTTCCCCTTCTGTAGCCCTGGGTTTCTTTCCCCCATTTAGAGAATTACTGAAAGATCTCTCTGTGTGAGTCATCTTTTCCTTTGTACCCTGAATCTTTCCACTGCACACTGATGTTCCTTCATGTTAAAAAGGGGGGTAAAATCTTTATACATATTCATCCTCCATAGTAATTGTTGGCATTCAATCATCCTGTCCAGCAGAGAGAGAGAGAGAGAAAGAGAGATCTCTGTAGAGAGACACACAGACACACAGACAGAGAGAGAGAGAGAGAGAGAGAGAGAGAGAGAGAGAGAGAGAGAGAGATATTTCTTCTGGAAAGACTGGCTCAGGTTAGGCATTTCATGAAAGCAAGTTTAATTAAGCTAATGATGGACACTCTTGATTATCTACATGCGGGCCACTCCACTAGCAGTGGTTAGTTAGGTTAGTATTATCATACCAGGACCTAAAACCATGGTTTGCAGTTGGTTTTAACTGCAGTTTCACAAGACATACAAATGCAGGCATCCCAACCAAATACTGGCTTTTTTCCTTGGCACTGGCTTGTCCTGGTGCGGGCAGAATACCAACCAGGTTTCCACAGGGGGAGTGGTGGTAAAGGGCAGAGGTGGTGAAACTAGTGTTTGCCAATGCACGCCAGGATTTAAGTGACCATCTGTGAGCTGAATTTTGGTTTCACAATCTAATCATAGTTGAAACATGTTATGGTTTTGCATGACTGAACTGAGCCTGTTCCGGAATTGAAGACCTAACAGATATAAACATGGCAAATACTAAAGTGTAAGAGCACAGGCTCGACATCTTCCTCTATATGGTCTTCTACTCCTCTGTCTTGATAGTACTCAGTTCTCAAAAGGCAAGTTGTCCTTGAAATTGCCTATGGATTATTAGTTCAATTTGCTTTGCTTTTCTGTCATCCCAGTTCAGTTGGTTCATCTCATTGGCACTTGAGCAATGTTCCCTCTAAGCTGTGGAGTCGTGTGAGCAAAAATTCTACTTTGTGAGCTACTGGCACTAAAGTTGTGAGTGAACGATTTGGCTGCTGCATAAATTACTTTGCTCTGGAGCCATCCTTCCTGAGCTAGGACAAAAATGTGTGAGCCAGAGGCTAAAAAATTGTGAGCTAGCTCACACTAAGTCAGCTTAGAGGGAACACTGCACTTGAGGTGTTCCAATTCAGGGGTTTTGCCAAATGGCTACCATTTAAGCGAAGGAAAATTTGGTTTCAGACCTAGACTAGAAGTGAAGATGATAACACAGCCAGGCACGTGAAAATTCAAATTGGGTGGTAACAGATGGTGCCGACATTTCATGGGGGGTGGGAGGGTGTCTGAAGACCAGAAATGCAGGTTGTGGAACAGTTTCTGTTTCCAAGTGTCCAGCTGCCCCTTCTCAACTGAAAGGTGGCTTGGGAAAGGGGAGAGAAATGGGAGGAAAGGGTACTGAACATTCCACCAACTATCCCTTTTAATTCCAGTTCCCCCTCCGTCCTCCCAGTGCTTAACCCCAGCCGGGGGGGGGTTCTTCTGATACTGCCTGACGCCAGCCAGAGGCAGCTAGAGCTTCAATCCAGAAGACAGTAGGGACTAGGCTCCTGAACTATAAGTAAGAAGAAGAGGAAGAGATTGGTTTTATACCCCGCCCTTCACTTGGAGTCTCAGAGCGGCTTACAAACTCCTTCCCCTCCCCCTCCCCACAACAGGCACCCTGTGAGGTGGGTGGGGCTGAGAGAGCTCTGACACAAACGACTCTTTTCCAAGGACAGCTGTGCCAGAGCTTGTGACTGACCCAAGGTCACATCAGCAGGTGCAAGTGGAGGAGTGGGGAATCAAACCCGGTTCTCCCAGATTAGAGTCTACACCAAACTGGCTCGAGGAGGAACGTGGGGGGGAATTTAACACCTGCCAATAGGACCTAGGGGTGTCCCTCCACAATTGTATAAAGTTGGCCTCCCAGCCGTTAGTTCCTGTTCCATGTGTTAAGTACAATAAATGAGTCTTCTCCAATGTCGTGGTCCTGATGTATCGAACCCAGTACTTTTCACCATGTTTGCATGTGAGCCCGAATTTCAGAGCAGCACTTGGATCCACCCAAACTGCAGTACATTAGGATAGCAATTTGATGGCCAGTGTTCCGCTTATTGTGGGGTTCTGGGGTGGGGATTAGAGGGAAAAATAGGGAGTGGTATATGTCAAGGGCCACATTTGCCACTGTTCCATTTCTATGAAGTATTGTTAGAACTCTGTGCACTGAAAATGAGAATAGAATGCGAACTCATCCAGCCCTCCTTTAAGGTGGCACAGCGTCCGGGGGGGGGGGGGGCGGCGCTCTGTGTGGACAATGTCATGCAAAGTTATATGCAAAGGCCTTGTTGGCTAAGTTCATTGAGAGCTTTAAGCCAAATTTAGGAGGACCATTTGCAGTGGCACCCCACCCTCTGCCTGAAGAAAGTGTCCTTCCCCTCTTATGCAGATTTATTTTCCACTCTTGCATTGAGGTAGATTGGATTCTGGCAACAGTACGAGCTTGTTTACCATAATTTGTCCATTAATGCCCATCTGTCGATATGATGGTACATGTCTGCCGTATCTGCCTCTAAACATCTTGCCTGAGGGGCATACAATATTCTTAGTTGCCTCTGTACATCAATGGGTATTACGTTTTCAAGCAGTCAGTCACATTTGGGCTATCCTGTGAAGACAATCCAACCTGATTGTGAATGACTCTGCTAGAGCCTAGTGATATTGCCACAGGCCGTGCTGTGTGGATGCAGCCTTGGCTAAAACTGTCCTGTGAAAACAGGCAAGATTTCACCTTAAAGAGGGAGCGAATGTCTTGCTTCCTGAAACTCAGCGGACATTCCAGCTGCAGATGGCCTTTCCGTGAAGACTTGTAGGTGACTGGGTGAGGCTGGGTTCAAACACCAGCTCCTCCCTCTTGGCCACGGCCCTCCACGAGAGAGCATTAGCAAGCACCCTCAAGGCCTACGGATGGGGAGTAGAGCGTCAGGCACTCCATGAACCTTGCGCTGCATCTCATTCATAAGAACATAAGAGATGCCAGTGTTGGATCAGGCCAAAGGCCCATCCAGTCCAACACTCTGTGTCACACAGTGGCCAGAAATACCAGGTGCCATCAGGAGGTCCACCAGTGGGGCCAGGACATTAGAAGCCCTCCCACTCTTGCCCCCCCCCCCAAGCACCAAGAAGACAGAGCATCACTTTCTGTCCATACTTCTGTCCTTCCATCCTTCTGTCCATACTTGGAACCGTACCCTGCTCCTCTTTCCTCCAAGAAAGCTGAGGGGGGAGATTTGGGGAAGGGCGCTGGGTTTCCTTCAGCAGAGAGATGTTTCATTTAGAAATAATGGCCACTGACTGCCCTCCAGCATAATGAGGGCAAAGCGTTTTGGGCTTCCTCCAGCACAGACCTGAATGCCAGTGCATTCTCTAGGAGAACAGTCTTGTTGGCCAGCTGTCCTCTTCTCACTCTCCGCTTCGTCAGGGTCCAGGCGGGGGAGCAGACCACCTCCCTTACCCAGCGCTGCCTTTTCAAGACCAGTGAGAGCAGAAGGCCGGCTCCTGTCTCTTCCTCTCCTTGAAGGGGGAGAGGTGGCGTAGATGAGAACAGTCTCCGTCTCTCTGGTTTTAGTTGAGAAAGAGAGGCTGGAACAGGAGGTCGTCTTGGTTTTTCTCATTTATTGGAAAGTGCTGACCTTCCAGTCAAGGTGTGAATCGGAATCCGGATTCTGTGCTCATCAGCACGGGCGGAGGAGGCAGTCAGGGCCCCTTGGAGGTGGGCAGGCGCCCGGGAGCCAGAATCAGCCAGCAGGAGGAGGTTTCAGGAGGAGCGAGGGCATTGGTTGGAAATGGTTGGAAATGGTTCTTTCAAAGGCAGGCGGCCTTTTGCTTTTGCAAAAGGTGAGCCTTTCCATGTTTTGTCTCTTGATTCATGAAACTTGTTTCCTTGGTCCTCGATTGAAATTTGGTACAGCTCCTGGGGTTGGCGTGGAGGGAGACGACAGAGTTGTGCCCGGGGGGGCCAGGTCTGCTCTGCATGCTGCAAATTGCCCCTCCCTAATCTGAATCATAAACGTGGCACCCTAGCTTTGCCTCAGTGTTTGTGTTTTTTTTACTTTTACAAATACCATGACGTTCATTGCTAGTTGTTATGGCTTTAAGAACTTTTGACCGCGGCAATAAGATTTTCTTTTACTGTTGGTGAGCCAAAGCCTGCTGATCTGTGTCTCATTGCTGTTGTGTCGTAGGAATCACTCCAACGTGAGGAGGATGCACACGGCTGTCAGGCTGAATGGCGTCGTGCTCAACAAATCACAACACGCCCAGCTGGTGCTGCTGAACATGCCGGGGCCTCCGAAGAGCAGGCAGGGGGATGAAAACTGTATCCTTCTTTCAGGTATCAGAAAAAGAGCAAGATACACTCTGTGTCGTTAGATGGAGAACAAGCAGGGGTCATTTCCTGCCAGAGCGCACAGGAGCGGAGCTCCGGCAGTAAAGAGCCCAGGGGGCGGGCACATGCAACAAGCCCCACCCCCTGCTCCCAGCAGCCCTCAGTCAGAGCAAGAAGCAGCCAGGTAAGCTGCAGAGCCCCCACCCCAGCCCAAAACAGTCCAGTGGCACCTTTAAGACCAGGTTTTATTCAGGTACAAGCTCTCCCTCCTTTGCTAGGACAGATCTGCACGTTCCTCCCCCCCAATACCTAGCAATCCAAAACAGTCCAGTGGAGCCTGAGCGGTGGGTGTTGCCTTGTGACACACTTCCGGTGATGTCAGGGGGTGTGGCATATGCGAATAAGTTATGCTAATGAGCTCCTGCACCTCTTTTTCTACAAAATGACCCCTGAACAAGGTACAGTGATGAACAGCGTGAAGTAGAGACAGTTCACCTGTTATTTGGCCCTTCAGATAGATTTGCCTTCTTTAAAAGGTCAGCAGATCAAACCCTTGTGGTCCAGAAATGTTTTTGTAAAGACAGCAGGTTTTGATATGTGGAGGGAATAATATGTCGAGGGAATCAGCAGACAGAGAGGAGGCCGTCCTGTTCCAGGTACAGAGGAGGAAAAGAGATGGAAACTGCAGAAGGAAATGCAGCGGACAAGCAGCAGGCACACCCATTCGGGTCAGAGGACAAGATGGGAGAATGGCCCAGTCCGGATGTGACGGGAACTGGTGAAGAGATGGACAAGTAGAAGACAATCGGCATGTGGGAAACTCATCAAAATACGGAGATTGACATCTAGAGGAACACTGTGAAGCAATATTAGTTGACCCTTATACACAACAGTGCAAACCTAAAATTAGTTGCCTTTTAACATCCTTGGCTACCTATAAACTGCTTGGCATCTGTTTCCTTAAATAAGTAGTTGACCATGCAATTCTAGGCATGTTTACTCAGAAGAAAGTCAATGGAATTGCTCACAGGTGAATGTTTCTAGTATTGCAGACAAGGCGTCTCCAGAGTTCTCCAGCTTGGGACATGCCCATTCTTGGTTCCTGTGTCCTGTTGGGTAATGGTGTCACTGTTTCACTTTCCTTGCTGCCTGCCTTACACAGCTCTCCTTAAACCTTAAACTTTGTACATTTTCAGTCAATATTAATGCAAAGTTCAGGTTCCATTGAACGTATTCGTTTACGTACGACAAGGCTTAACTCTCCACAGAGTTTATGAGCTTGGGCAGAGCACCTGAATAATCAATCAACATCTATTGATTTTGTATGCAAACAGTTGTGCTAAGGTTGAGGAGCATAAAAGTTCTGGAAGTCTGGGAAGAATCTGAAGGTTTGTTGCTGTTCTTGACTCTTTGATGTTGCTCAAAAATGGAAATATTTATATTTTGGGGAAATGTAGGTTACTGTTTATCAGACCTAAATTTTATTTTCTAGTATGAGAGACGCGGTGTCTTACCTTAGTTATAGCCACCAGCACACAAATGATGACTGTTTGATATGATTTTTTTTAAAAAAATGTATGGACTGTTTCACATTTTTCAAACAATAATGACAAATATACCCAGGGATAGAAACTGGAGCTAAACTTTGCTGTACCGTTAGGAACTAAGTATACATTTTTGCTGCTTGGAGAGAAGTGAAACAAAAAAATAAAAGTTGGAACACAAACCTTTGACATGGCTTTAAACAGAAAGGAAGGCTGAATTGTTTGTGTCTAGAAATAGCCCACAAACCTCAACATTATAAAAAGTGCATGTTTCTAGAGCATGCTTAGCAACAGACAACCCTATAATACAGTGACCATGCTTCCACTGGTTTTGTTTTTTCTGCAGGCCTGGGAGTGCCCCCCCACACACACACACGCACCTCCGTGGGGATCGGGATCTCCCTGCCCCACCTTTGCATCTTTCTGATGTTCAGATCAGGGCTGCCTGAGGTTTGCTAATTGCTAGGACAAGAGCTAGGCCTGGCGAGATCTTGTCCATGGGGTCGCGAAGAGTCTGACTCAACTGTGCGACTGAACAACAACAAAAAGGACACCCAGGGCAGATGTGCACAAACTTCAACCCTCAACGCTTGGTGTGTCTGTGCCCTGGCCTTGTTTGAGCATGTCGTCCAATGCATGAACATCAGGCGAGTCCAGTGGGTGGGTGCAAGTGCCAGTTGGCTGGTGCAATGTCAACTGACACACACAGAGAGGTTCTACACAATATGGGCAATTCCTGCATAGGTGTAGGAAATGTTTTCTGAGAGGTTTCCAAATGTTTCAGTTTCTACCTATTGGGCCGCTCATTCTCTGGGCTGCTGGCCCTGGCTTGAACGATGCCGGCAGCGGGAGGGGCGCTCCGGCACCACCACCATAGGAATGTTTGGGGAATCACCACAACACAACTCGGTTGGCACCCATGTGGCTCTTCCGGTCCTGCCCACACTGTGCCATTTTCCCCTACAGCAACTATTGCACAAAAAATAAAATAAAATGGCAATAGAATAACATTATAACAATTTGTCAGGTTTTCTACATTTCCAGCATCCAGGCTTTTGTTTGTTTGTTCATATGTTTTTAAAGTAAGTTTTTAGCTACTTCTCTTGCAGAGATATGGTTTTAGATTAAAGCTTGGAATTATCATTGATTTTTTTGTTAAATTCTCAGTCGGCAGAGGAAACAGCCGCTGCAGGAGATTTTGCAGGGGAAATTGCCACATGGCGGTGCCATCTTAAGTCTGCTTTCCTGAGAGCCAGTTTGGTGTTGTGGTGAAGTGTGCGGACTCTAATCTGGGAGAACCGGGTTTGATTCCCCACTCCTCCACTTGCACCTGGCTGGATGGCCTTGGGCAAGCCGTAGTTCTGACGAGAGCTGTTCTTGAAAAAGAGCCGTTTCTGTCAGAGCTCTCTCAGCCCCACCTCCCTCACAGGGTGTCTCTTGTGGGGAGGGGAAGGGAAAGGAGTTTGTAAGCCGCTCTGAGACACCTTTGGGTAGTGAAGGGCGGGATATAAATCCAATCTCTTCTTCTTCTTCAATAAATTTTGGATTAATCTGTGTGTCTGCACCAAGACTACATGACATCGACATCATCTAAATGCCAGCATGGCTATTTGTATGTGTTAGGTTAATGGTTGTTAATCTAAGAAGTTTGGACACAGAAATAGTATCAGTTAACTGTAGTAGCTGACTGGTGGGACTGGGAGAATGTGAAAGTTGGTTGCTTCTAGCATTTCCTAGAAATAACATGCTTCACAAGTTTTATTGAAGAATGAATGAAAAATGCCCCTGCCATTGGTCTGTTGTGTCTCCAGTTTATTGTCGTGATTGTTGCAGTCCTGTCATTAGGGATGTTCTAATTACTTATTGATTGTCCATAATGTATTCCACAATTGAAGCTATACAGTGCTCCAGATTACTACCGAAACAATTTGAAGGTTGTCCTCACAAGTGACCTTAATAGGATGCTTTGAAACGCATCACTTCACAGGGGTCAGGGCTTGGGCAAGTCTAATATTTTGTAAAGCAGCGGAAGCTCAGAGGTAATCAGTGCTTCCTTGATCTGCTAGAAAATTTTTCAGGAGGTGTTGGCTAAAATGTCAGTCGTTTTATTCAGCACGTTTTTAAATGGATAGTGTTCTGCTGTGTGTACACCGTGAAGTAATATGTAAAAATCTGAAGCTTGGGAAAATAAGTCTTTGGATGAGTGAGACCTTGGGTGAGACCTTAAATCCTGTTCAACCCTGTCGCCAAACTTACATTCTGCACTACACTTGAGTTCACCCCTCGGGATGCTTTTTGTTTCCACACTACATTGAGGTCACCGCGGTTTCACCCCACACACATAAACGGATGCTGTTATAACCAGGGATAAATGCAAGGTATTATGTCGCAAGTTGAATTCTGATAAAACCAGGGGCGAGATCCAAGTGCGGAAAGGACCCTTGAATCCCTGTCATCCCGGATGAGGGTCAACTCTCCATTCACAGAGCTCTGCCTGGCCTAAAGGGGCCCGAAGTGTCAATTCTGCTTTAGCTGGAATGGCAAACAGGTCCATGTCAGTGTGTCCTTTGCCTGAGTCTGAAAGGGAATAAGAGGCAGCAGTGTAAGGACAGGAGGAAGTTCTACTGAGAATCTCTGTAACTGGCACGAACTAGACAGAGAGAAAATGCATGGCAGAGTGGCACAGTCCAGTGATTTTACCGGAATGGCACGAGAGGAGTTCTCCCAGGTCTCAAGCTGCTCTAGTAATATCTGTAAGGCAGAATCGTGTGGCTCAGCCAGATGACATCGATTCATGCAGATCTTGACAAAAAACCACCCAGCTTCTTCTGACATATCAAAACGCAGGACTATGGGAAGCAGCGTTCGTGTCCAAAACTGCACTTTTTGTATGTTGCGTAGGGCGAGATGGCAGAATGGGGAGGGGCTGTGTCTCCGTGGTCAAGCCATCTGCTTGGCATGCAGAAGGTCCCAGGTTCCATCCCCAGCGGCATCTCCAGTTAAAAGGAGCAAGTAGTCGGTGATGTGAAAGACCCTTCTCTGCCTGAGGCCCTTGGGGAGCTGCTGCAGGTCTTGAGTAGACAAGACTGACCTCAAGGGGCCAATGGTCTGACCCAGTAGAAGGCTGCTTCCTGTGTTCAGAATTCTGAACTGCCATGCAAGACTCAGAACCAGAGTGGATCTGCACATCAGGGAGATGAGCTAATTCACTACATGTTGGGAGCACTCAAAAGTGAGCTTGAAACGAGACAATTCAAAGTTTTGCATAAATCGGTCGTCTGGTTCTTGGGAGTGTAGCCTCGGCCTCAAGCTCTGGCAGTGGCTGTCAGTAGTAATTGGAAGATAGTCGGGTTTTTCCATAGAAAGGCCTGGAATGCCAGTGTTCAGAGAAACTGATGCTAGATGGGATTCTGGCAAGCCATCGTCCAGTTGTCATCCTGGTGCCAGGAGCAATCCTGGGAACAAGTTTTTGTTTGCTGTTTGATCTCCAGATGTGTGTAGCACAGAATCCGCATGCGAGCTTTGTGTTCGGTTTGCCTCACGAGAGTGCAGACTGAAGAACTTGCTTCTGAACCCCAAGCGCTTAGCCAACTTGGAAGAATTTAATTTGGTCCACAGAATCCGCATGCGAGCTTTGTGTTCGGCTTGCCCCACGAGTGTAGACTGAAGGACTTGCTTCTGAACCCCAAGCACTTAGCCAACTTAGAAGAATTTAATTTGGTCGCACAAATGCACAGGCATGCAACTAACACTTGAAGTGGATAAATCATCTTTTGTGCAGCATGTGGTGAAGATATTTAGTAGTTCAGTTGTAGATAGTAGCCATGGTAACATTAGACTTTGACCTTACTGCTGCTTGTAACATTCCTCCCCCCCACCCCGGATCATTTTCCATTGTTAAAAGTCTTGGAAGCAAGTGTTTCAGTCAAATTGGGAACAATGCCATATTCTTTCTTGGGCATAACCAAGAGCAGAATGCACTAGAATTCTATCACTGCTCTAAGAAAGTTCCAGGGCGATTTCTCACTAGAGCTTCGCCCGATTTCCTCCGCAGTTTCATGATCCTCAAAAACCAGGATCACGAAACTGCGGAGGAAATCAGGCGAAGCCCCGAGTCAAAATGCAGCCCCGGAGCTTCGGGTGTGAAATTGACATGTTTGTGTCAGGGCAAACGGCGCTGTGCTGCAAGGCAGCTCTAGTGAGAAATCGCCCCCAGCCTTGGGCTGAAATTTCCTGTTCACTGGATAGATCTACATAGGATGAATTAATGGTGGGTTTGTCGGAAGACTTTTTAAATAGGATTTTTCATAACTCCTTAAAAAAAACAAACCCCGGAAGAACTGGTAAGCTTAGAAAACAAGATTCTGTTTCTCCTCCAGTTTCACCCATTGGTTGTTTCCCAGGGGCAGACTCCTTGCTTCTCGTAGTGGAATTGATACCAACGGAGAGGAAGAGTGCCAAGACGGCCCTACCTTAAGGACGTATCATGCTAAGGAAGGTGCCGTGTGGTGCTGCTAAGCTAAGAGTGAGGATGGAATACGGCAGCAGTAATTTCCCGCTCGTCCAGTGAGAAAGTAGATTCCCTCCCACACATAAAAAGCCTATGAAATGCAAGCTTTTAGGAAACCTAGAGCAGATCTTTTTTGTGTCTTTTCCAGGGTCTGCAGAACCTACTTTGCAGCAAGCCACTTGTTGGAGACCGCTGGACTAATGAAATGAACAGGGAGGATTGAGGCTGAATAGTCTTGCTGCTTTCACTATTTTTAAATACCAGATCTGGTATGTCAACAGACATACTTGAACTATTTTAAGGCTATTTTTTCATGAAAAGTGTGCATCGCCCCTCTCTGATGAGAGCCAAAACCCTAGGCTTATTTTAGTAAGTAAACCATCTTTTAAACGCAGGACAACGCTGGGCAAAGCAAATACAGTTTTTCAAGAGTCTCATATGCACTTTTGTGCAGAGGTATAGTCTTTACCTTCTGGAGAGAAAAAAGTGCTGCACAACTGCTCTTGAGATCTGGATTGGGGGAAGTGATAACCTGGATGCTAGCCACTCGGTGCCTACAGTGGCTCTCAGCTTCTGTTAATCCAACCATTCCCCAGAGGAAAATTGGGTTCACCTGAACTATGCACAACAACAAAAAACTATGGAATAGCTCTGAGCAGAAAGCCTTAAAGCCGGACAGAAAAAAGCAAGCTGTTGTGGGCGGTAACACCGCTGTTGAACTACTTCCACCAGCTCTCCTATTTCCATTGCCAGAAGACGGTGATGGCATCTTTGTTCCTTCTCTTATCTTGTCCTTTGAGTCAGTGGTGCAGTTTAGACCAGAACATGAAACTGTCTTTTATTTTAGCCATGCTTCGTCCAGGAAACAGGGACTTCATTCACAATCAGTCACTCCAATACTGCTTTGCTGTTTTCATTGCCTGGGAGAGCTTCACTGGGGAACAAGCCAGGAGGGTTGCATTCATACACCACACAGAGCTAACTGTGGTTAATAAGCCGATTTCAAACCAGAGTTTTCGATTCTAGTTTGTCAGACTCTAACCACAGCTGCTGGAGCGGCTGTGGTCAGACAATCACACAGACTTGCCAAACTGAGCCTTTCTCTTTTCTTTGCAGACTTCAGTTGAACACCAGTATAGATTCTTGGGGGAGGGGGCCCCCTGAATTGAATAGGAGGGCTAATCTTTTATCTTTCTCTACTTTCACTGTGAAAGATCTGTATGATCTGAAGAGAAACCAGAGTTTTCTGGATTATAATGACACATAAAAGTCTTTTTTGTCGGTCATGGTATTGTATATGTTAGCTTTTATTAATACCTTCCAAGCTGACCATGTATCGAAATAAACTGAAATGAATTTTTACTGCAGTCTGGGTGTACATTTAAAAAAATAGCATCTTGCTTTTTTTTAGAAAAAACCCCATACTATTATTCTTTGGACATCAATGTGCATTCCGTAGGGCTCCTGTGTTGCTATAACACAACAGTTGTCCATGCATCTATTCAAATGGTGTACGTCAAAAATAATGTACAACATTTAAGCGTAACGTTTCTGAGAACCAGCTTTGTGCACGGTGTCATGATTTTATTCAAAATTAAAAAAACGTTTCAGTATTCTGTTTCAAATCATTCCGTGTAAACTGATCGTATGATCCAGAAGATGCAAGCACCTTCTTCCACATATATAAGGAACTTTGGTTTTAATTCAGGTCATCTTTATTTTAGAAGCTAATCCCTGTGTACAAGGCCAGTCATGCAGCACAAAGTACGGGATAAATAAGATCACAAACTAAGACCATTTTAGACCCTTAATGAAATCCAAGATGGCCACAGAATCTACATGTCAGCATAGCTTGAAATATAAAACGAGTTCCGTCCAATATAGCAGTGCATTATTTTCATTTGGTACCATTTCTGTTGACCGTGTGTGGCAATATACATACAGTGCCTTTGGAACAGTTTTCTCCCTTATACAGTCTGCCTCCCGTGCCTTCCACTCCAATGAAGTCACCCATCCCTATCTGGAAACATTAATCCACTTTGGAATTGTCACAGCACAGAGGGTAGCGTTACTCACTCCCCACCACTGTTCCTTGAGCTGACAGGGCAGACGATTATAAGCCCCATAGTCAAGGCTGGGTGTTCCTCCACACAAGTATGGGTGAAACATACACATCTATATGGAGCACAGGAGCCAGCATTATAAGAGGGTTTTTTAAAAAGGTAAGTTTCATGCCCCTATTGCTGGACAGATAGACCTTTTGCAAGTGTACAAAAGCTCCTGATAGATTCATTAACTTCAAAATGAAAGACTCACTGTGATTCCTACAGTTTTTTTTGGGGGGGGGCCCTTCAGCATTCTCCATAGCTTGTTGGTTTGGATCCAACAATGTATGACCGGAAAGGAAAATGTACTAAGCACTGCGGTGCTAGTGCAAGCAATAGGGGCTCATTGCAGTATTAAAATGTTTGTCTCCAGTATTTGATAAAGTGTGCCTGCACACAAAAGCTCATACCTTGAATAAACCTTTGTTGGTCTTAAAGGTGCCTGACTGGACTCTACGTTTGTATTCAGTAGATTTCGCTTCGTGCAAGCCGCTTGTGAGGTTTGTCTTTCGCACTTCCGCCTGCGTAAAGGGCTGTTGCGCATGCAGAGCTCCTCTGTGGGGATCCAACCTCCTCCCTCTGACCTGACTAGCAAAAGCAGGGCAAATTATGCAAACTGTGGAGCCAAATGCAAAAGTGTTTAATTTATACATCTTATGCACAGATTTTTCTAGACATAAATCGTAATGAAGGGCAGAGTGGAACTAGTCCTGAATACAGTCACTGCAAACAGGAGGAGTGAAAATGGTGGCCTTTGAATGATCAGTTTCTTGGGCAGCTTCCTGCCTTTGAAAGAAAACTCATCACTCCCTTATTTTGCTGAGCAGCAGGCAGAAGGAAGCAACTTTCATCCCATGTGCCCACCATGGGTCAATCTGGCTCACCAAACACATGATTTTGATCAAATTTTTTCCTCCTGGAATCTCACAGTTTCCCCCCACCCTGAATTGGGCTGCATGGTCTGTCTCCATCAGCTGGCCATTTGCACCACCAGTAAAAAAGGTAAAGGTCTCCCTTGCTCAAAAGCCAGTCGAGTCCAACTCTAGGGTTGCGGTGCTCCTCTCCGTTTCAAAGCCGAAGAGCCAGCGCTGTCCGAAGATGTTTCCGTGGTCATGTGGCCGGCATGACTAAACACCACGGCGCACGGAACGCTGTTACCTTCCCACCGAAGCGGTACCTATTTATCTACTTGCCATTTCTTGCTTTCGAACTGCTAGGTTGGCAGGAGCTGGAACTAGAGATGGGAGCTCACTCCGTCCTGCGGCACACTCGGGTCTCGAACTGCTGAACTACCGACCCTCCACAGCCTGCAGTTCAGCGTCTTAACCACTTGAGCCACCACAGCCACCAGTACCCAGCCAGAAACCAAGGCAAGCCACAGTGCTAGACATGCGCTCCCATATGGGCTGATCACAGCACACACTGCCTAGAAGACTGGAACCACGAAAGAATGTACCCACTTAACTGTTTTGCTTGGAGATGGAACCTTAACGGTGGCATCCCAATTGGAGTTACACCCTTCAAGTCAATGGGCTCAGAAGGCCTTAACTCTGCTAGAGCGCCACCGCACTTGGCTATTTTAAAACAGTTTTCTAATGCAAAGTTCCTTTCAGCATCTTACTTCCACTCCCTTTCTACTTTTAAAAAAATGCATTTTCTGCCTTCAGCTAACCTTCTTTCAACATCCCTAACGGACCCACAGACAGCACACTCATCTCCATAAATGCCTTCTCCTCCCAACCTCTTTGCAGGAGATTAATAAGAAAGCAACCAAATAGTTATCCAGAGTCTTCAAAGTAGATAAGTTAAGCCTGTTGATAAGACAAAACCTGTTGATCAATTCATTTTCTCTCCCCCCGCCCTGCCCCCCACCTTGTCTAATGAGTAATTTAATGTGATTTACTCTGCTTGGTTGTCACTGTGCATAAAATAAAGCAGAAGAAAGACCACTGAGGGAATTAATGTCATTAAAAATATGGGCAGGAGGGATTTCGCCTCCCTTTGTTGTTGAAATGTAATACCTGGCATGATAAATGGCATTTATGCATATACATCTGAGCAGATCAGTTCTGTATTTCTATTATTGGTGCAACATTAAGTGATGTGGGGGGGGGGGGTTTCCATTGCCTGAAAATGAAAACAGTATATACATCTATGTATCTAATTCTCAACAGTCCCCTCTGCCTGCAGATACTTATTTCCACAGAGGGCACACTTCCCGCCCAACAGGTTTTCCTACAGACTCAGGGGACTATGTAAATCTGCAAAAAAATCCAAAAAGTTTAAACTTGGGGAGGGGTGAATCCCCCCCAATACCTTTTGAAATGGCTGCCACAGGGATCTACTCCAGGCCCCACCGCATTAACAGTGAGATATAGAGTGGTGGATTGCCAGAGAGAGATGATGAGTGGGGGAAGAGGGGAAGAAGCAAAAGCAGAACTGGAGCTGGGTTTAGGGAGGATTCCTCCTGCAGTTGTTGTTGTTGTTCAGTTGCACAGTCGAGTCCGACTCTTCGCGATCCCATGGACCAGATCACGCCAGGCCTTCCTGTCTTCTGCCATCCTCTGAAGTTTGCTCAATTTCATGTTCGTTGCATCTATGACACTGTCTAACCATCTCATCCTTTGACATCCCCATCTTCTTTGACTTTCAATCTTTCCCCGCATCAGGGTCTTCTCCAGTGAGTGCTCCTTTCTCATTTGGTGGCCAAAGTACTTGAGCTTCAGTTTCATTATCTGGCCTTCCAGGGAACAGTCAGGGTTGATTTCTTTTAGGATTGACTGATTTGATCTCCTTGCAGTCCAAGGGACTCTCAAGAGTCTTCTCCAGCACCATAGTTCAAAAGAATCTATTCTTCGGCGCTCGGCCTTCCTTATAGTCCAACTCTCGCAGCCATACATGACTACTGGGAATACCATTGCTTTGACCATGCGGACTTTTGTTGGCAGGGTGATGTCTCTACTTTTAATCATGCTGTTTAGGTTCGCCATCGCTTTCCTTCCAAGGAGGACCTGCAGTGTCCAGTAAGGCAATCTTATGAAATATCACCTCACATAAACAAAGTGATTGTAATTTCCAGGCAAACTCCTCTTTGGAGCCAAATTCAGTCGGCTGGCTGACTATGCACAAGGGAACCGAGCAAGGCTAGAGGGCTCTCTTTCCAGTGTTCAATACAGAAAAACAAAAAGGGGGAAACAAGGGGGAAAAGGGGAAAGTGGGCTCCAACTGTCACTCCCTCCCTTCACAGAAGGCTGTCACAGAGCTGCCTCCTCCCTTAAGAGGGCACCGCTCAGAACAACTGAAAGAATCTCTGCCTTTTTTGTCAGAAACAACAATCCCTCATCAGTACCATACAGAATAATACAAGGCCAAAAGTACCTCACAAAAGAGGACACCCTGCCAAAATGAGAAAATCCACGAGCTAACCAACCGGTTACTGCAAGAAAGCCATTTAAAGAGTAACCAACTATACTATGAAAAAGACATTAATAATACATGACATTTTGTTGCAGGTCCCCACTTGTATAGATATAGTCTCCTCAAATAACAGGACAGTAAGCAACAGACATTCCTTTAAACCAGTGGTTTCCAAATCTATGTTTCTAGGCACCAGAGGTGTTTATCAGAGGTTCCTCAGTAAGAAGACTAATAATGGCAAACTGCCTAAAGGGCAGCAGAGCCACCATTTTCAACCTTCCATGTAAAACACAGGTCCAGGGGAATGCTGGGTAAATTTCTATGTACCCTTCATCAACATGACGTGACAGACACAAAAGGCCAGCAGGCAACCCCCCACACACACACCATTAGCAGACTGTGTGTCAAAATCATACAAAGGCTTGCAGGGAAATCAGCGTGGGAGGAATGACCTCAGGGAACACTGGAAACCACAGTCTAAATCTATCCAATTTATAGGGATTGCTCTTCCCCCACCACCATGGCACCAACACGGTAGGACAGACATTGCCCGCTTAAGCAGATGGCTTTAAATCCAGTAGAAGGGCATCCTCGTCTTCTTTGATTTCTGGTCGGAGCACAATTTTTTCTGGAGTAATTGCTCTCTTCTCTGCCTGCAAAGGGCCTTTGGAGTTCCCGCCCCGGTCTTTCTTCACTTTGGTTATCACTTCAGTGTAGGAAATTTCCTCTGTGACAGGTTCAGCCTCTGCACTGTCCACGGCTGTATCAGTGCTGGCGTCCCGGACTCTTCCTTGATCTTCAGTTGTCGTTGGCTCCTTGGTTTTCTTATTTTTCTTGAATGTCTCCTTGGTTGGGGCCGCCTTGGATATAGTTTTCTTGAACCTGATCCCAGATTGTCTGAGCCTCTCTCCTGACTGCCTGACTCGCTCTCTCCTCTCTGGCGTCACTATTCTTGTTCGAAGTCTGTCCACCTTCTTGCCAAAATTTTGCCTTGTCTTCTGAATGTTCTCTCTGGAAAACGCCTTTTTTATGTTGTTGATGCGTCTCATGCCAGATTTCTTAAACCGTGATGCTTTGCTTTCTTCTATGTAATACTCTTCGTCAGAGGAGAGGTCATCCGCTAGACAGAAGGCGTCCTGTAGAGTTTCCCCTTGTGTCCTGTCTTTGATAACCGATAAAGACGATGGACATGGAACGTCCTCCTGCAGATGAAAGCACAGTGTGTCAGTCTCATAGCACATAACTCCCCTCCAAAAAAAAAAGCATATTGTGTATAAAGGGGAAGGAGGCAAAGGATAAAGGGTGCCTCCTCAGCAACTGTATCACCACCAGAGAGGTGAGGCTACCATTCCCCCCTGTATGCTTCCCCCCCACTTACAGTTTTTCCAATTTCAAACCCCTATGGAGCCATTATTTTTCCCTCTGGAGAAAAACGTAGGCTGACGGGGTATGGAAAACAGATACAGGGATGGGACCTCAACAGCCCAAGTTAACCTGACACACAGTTTTTCCAATTTCAAACCCCTATGGACGGGGTATGGAAAACAGATACAGGGAGGTCCCAGCCCAAGTTAACCCGACAGCATCAGAACTCAGAAGCTAAGCAGGTTAGTACTTGGAGGGGAGACCACCACAAAAGTCTAGGGTAACGCTGTGAAGACCGGCAATAGCAAACCACCTCTGAAGACCTCTTACCTCGAGAACCCTACGGGCTCACTATAAGTCACCTGTGGCCAGTGTTCCCTCTCAGCTGAGTTAGTGTGAGCCAGCTCACAGTTTTTGAGCCTCCGGCTCACACGTTTTTGTCTTAGCTCAGGAAGGATGGCTCCAGAGCAAACTGATTTATGCAGCAGCCAAATCGCTCGCTCACAACTTTAATGCCAATAGCTCACAAAGTGGAATTTTTGCTCACAAAACTCCACAGCTTAGAGGGAACATTGGCTGTGACTTGCTAGCCAAAAAAAAAGTGGGGAGGAGAAAGGAGAAATCCAACTTAATTCAGCTAACCTCCTAGAAACCTGCAAGAACTCTTGTTTGCAGATTCCCTGCATAACGTCTGCTTCAGCCCTAATACTTTAAATCAGTTCAGGGAGGGTGCAGGATCCATACCCAAGAAGGAACAGAAAGTGCTGGGAATGGGGAGTCTGTAGCTTCAAAGAAAATGATTTGCCAATGAGCCACCTACATTGGCTGTTGCTGTTTTTAGTTACACTAGAAATCAGAAAACAAGCCAAAGAAACAGAACAGAAAGACTCAATCCACTTGATAACCAATGTTTACTTCACCTACCATTCAATACAGGCAAGAAATGGTGTTTGGATCAGCACCAACTATTGGATGCTGCTTCCCAGGCAAGAAACCAGCAAAGCCAAGCCTTGGAAGGACAGAGGTTGCCAACATACGTGGTCATCTGGCAATTCCCTTTGATAAAGTCCACACTCTGTGGGAACCATTTTGCACATGCATGGGTACACACACTGCATCTGTGTGTACATGGATACTTCTGTGTCTTTCAGGAACCACCTATGTGATCCAGCATTCTCAAATAAGCGCAAACCCTCCCCCCTACATTGTAGCCATTGTAAACAGACCACTAACTCCATTATCCCAATCTTATATGCAACCTGATTCAACAAAGTTAAGCAGTTTAACTGTTGAAATAATTTGGTTTGGATGAGAGTAACCGTACACAGGATTGCATTTTGTCCATGTAGTACTTTAAAGTGTCTTACCTATTTCATTAGAAGTTACTTCCAAATATCACTATAAGTAAAATGGCTATATACCTGATAGATGTTGATAGCAGCACAAGCAAGCCGCCGTCAGATAGATTGAGGGGCTTTATGTATTTGGGGGACTTCCCAAGTATGCAGAAAAATATGAAACGTAAATTATTCAGAAGAAAAAAAACCTCAGTCTGATGAGGCCTCAATATACTTCCGAAGGGAGGGAATGTTGAGAACAGCTGCACACTTGTTCACACCCCTGTGGGAATCCTGGAGGAGAAGATTATCTCTTAGGCAGTTTCAGGAACCCTCACCTTGTGTATATTTAGGACTATAAGGTTCACTGTCAAATTTTTAACTTTATACCAAATTCCTAAATAACCACTTGCCTATGATTAATTGTAGTTGTCTGCAGGGAAGCCTGCATGTATGTATGTGGCCTTGGCCACACGGGCAGGAAAATGCAGGGGGGGGAGGCGGGGCGCCCCGGAGCAAACTAACACGCGACTGCATGATCAGGCGTCGGGTTGAGGTCCCGTTGAGCTCCCGTGGTTAAGGGGGAGGTACCGATCACACGACATGGCAAAGAAGCGGAGCGGCAAACGGGGTTGTGGATTTTTTAAAACTGAAATGTGCGCATGCTCCGTTGGTTCCTTGTGCGCATCCATGGAGACTTGGGGGGGGAACCTTTTTGCGAGGGGACATGGGCGGGCGCCGGAACTACCACCGGAAACGCGATCAGACGCCCGCCCTTGCCCCGCGGTTTCCGGAAACTAGTACCTCCGAGGTACTAGTTTTTTACCCCGCATCTTCGTCGGGAAGCCTCGGGTGCGCCACGGGAGCTCTACACTTCCCAGATGTGGCGGTGAGATCGCGCCCGGAAAATCCGCCTATCTTCCGTCTCTCTAGCGTGTCTGTTCCGTGTGACCGGGGCCTGTATTTATTTATTTATTAAATTTGATTTACTAGGCAGCCCTTCCCTACAAGTAGGACTCAGGGCGGCTTACGGCAAATTAATATACAATCTCAGATTAAAAGTTAAAGCAAGCCAATAAATACCACTGAAAGAACTGAACGTTGATTCCCCCCAATGCCATCAGTACGCTATTTATTTATGTAAAATATTCCTGTGCTGCCTTTCCACCAAATAGGGTCCCCAGGGTGATAAACAGTAAAACAATATTTCAAATAAAGTATATATAAAAATATATGGCTGCCCTCATAGCCCAGAGGAGCCCGATCTCATCAGAGGCTGCCGGGTCTGTGTGGGATGGGAAGCCCAACCCCCAAGGGAGGTGGGGGCTGCTCTGCGGAGGAAGGCCTCTGCTTGTCTCTCTGGCCTTGAAAACCCCACCAGGGAGAACTTTATGCGGCCACCGCAACTTGGCAGCACAGCTTACCTTCAGAGAGAGAGAGAGAGAGAGACAGAGACAGAGACTTAGGGGCAGGTAGGCTAGTCATTTTGTTGGCGCACTACCAACTTGTTACGATGTCCAAGGCTGCTTAATGGGACAGTATCTGAATCAAGTACACTGAATATATCCATGTTTCAGTCCAGTGGCACCTTTACGACCAACAACGTTAATTCTGCAGGTAAGCTTTTGTGTGCTTCCAGACAAAAGCTTATACCATACCACAAATTAAAGTTTGTTGGTCTTAAAGGTACCACTGTAATCAGTATCTAGGACATGCTTTTTGATAGCAGAAAATGCTTTGGATTTGCCCATATCAGGAATATGATTAACCAACATTCCAACGAACATCAATTTCTCGTCCAGAGCTTTCACCCAAATCACTTTGTGGATATCCCGTTTCAGAGCGGCTTACAAGCCATCTTCAGCACACAACAATTTTGGCCTCAGTTTGAAGGCAGAGAGCCATGCTCTCACTTCCAAATTCTGCTCGCAATACAACATTTGATATGCAACGGGAGACATCCGGTGTTTTTCTTAAAAACTGGGCCAGAGGTTGGTCAGTATTATCAGAGATCGCTTCGATCCGAATAACTGAGCCACAAGGATCCGAAGGTCAGTCTGGCAATAGCAAAGTTTGTTCCAGTCCTTCCAGCCCTCGCATCCAAACAGTGAGGAAGGAGACTCTTCTGCTGCTGGAGATTTGTCAATCAACGAGCTTCCGAAGGAGTAAAGGACAGGGGCCGCCGGACGCAAACTCTGTTCTATTGCTTCAGACCAACACGGCTGCTCAAACGGATATCTCTGAAGCGGTATCCGCAGCGGAGTGTGGTGAATGGCAAGCTTTTCAAACTGGCACGTGGGTTGATCCCAGTTTCAGTCCCGTGTTTGTTTGGTTTTAAATTGCTCCCTTTGTGCTGATGCCGAAGTCTACCCGGGCCTTCAGAACAAAGCAGGACATTTGGCAGTTAGCAAATGCACATTCTGGGGTCTGGGGTCCTGCAGCTGGCACAAAAACCATACAGATGGATGAACGGAGGTGTAGGCTCAGCTAGGAGGGAAGCAGATCAACCTGAATAGTCTGTGTGGAGGACGAGGAAGGTTTCATTCACAAAATTCTCTGTATAACAATTTATGAGGCTAAAGAAGTCAGGGCACAGTCTACATTTTTGTATTTAGCAACCAATGCAAATTTAGTTTCTGAGCATAGTTTGCTTTCTTCCAATGATCGAACAAAGGTTTTGTCAACAGTACAATGAACAGCTAGTCTGGATACTGCTCAGGCATAGACCTTGCTTTGGCATGTCTGTCTGTGTGTGTGTGTCCGTGGGCAAGCACTCTCTCAGCCCAGAGACGAGGCCAACCCCAGCTTTCTGACCAGAGCATCTATATGAAGAAACATGCTTCTAAACAAAACAGGAAAAAGACAGAACAAACCATGATTTGGGATGTGAAAGGTCAAAGATGGTCTAGATGATCGAAAGAGGTAGCGCTGAAACCAATGGGAGTAAAGACTTAATTTTGGCAGTATTGTGACTATACTGAAACTCTAACCATAGGTGGCAGTAGAAAAGTTTGCTGATCTTAGCCAAACTGCAGTAGCCAAATTGCTGACTCACAACTTTAATGCCAGTAGCTCACAAAGTAGAATTTTTGCTCACAAGACTCCACAGCTTAGAGGGAACATTGATCAACACCGCTTTTAACTTAAGGAACACTACATTGGGAACATTTGGCTATACAATCTCATATAGTTGTCCACAGAGAAGTACTACTGGACATGTGATTGCACTGGAGGTTTCATTGGTATTTTTGCCCAGTGGTTAAACTTTGAAACAATTGTTTTCTGGTCTTTATTCCATATTCTGTATATGTATGATTGTATATATTTTTACATATTAGCCAACATGTTCTATTTGTATTAGACCTCTGAGGAAGGCCTGTGAAGGCCGAAACGCGTTAGGTCTATTTTATCAGCCTTTGTATTTTTATATTTGTATATGAGGTATGAATGGGCCCTTATTTGTTATTTTAATTTGTGTTCAATAAATACATGTATATTTTTGTATGTTTCATAATTAGATTTTTTAGAGTTGGCCCTCTTCTATTCTTGACTAACCTTTTTAGGTTCTGAATTCTAGGTTTTAGGTTCAGGTTTTTTCCCTTTTCCCTTTTTTTGTCCAAGTTGATGGAGAAACCTGGCGGTTGGGTGTCTGTTTTCCCAGCAGCGGCCAACCTTTTTTGGCCAGCCTGGTATCAGGTCAAATCCAAATATGACCCTCGGCTGCCCCTTCCCCCTTTGCCCCTCCCTTTCGAACCTCCTGCCCAGCAGCCACACCCAGAGGCCCCCCCTGGAGCCCCAACGTCTGGGCAGCGAGGATCCATCTGCCCCCTGCGAGTGGGGAAATGAGACACACCTCGGGAGGCAGTGAACCTGCTAGCTGTAAGCAACAGGTATTTTAATTTATTTTGCCTAATGCCCTATAAATATATTTTCAGTTACCTCCAATTGTTCTGGGTATGTGACCTGAGGAGAATCTGCAGGAAACAGCAACGCTTCACATTCATCAGTCATCTTAAAACTGTTACAGGTGGGCCTGTACTGCTCCCGGCCCCCACGGATTAGGGCTAGAAGCAAAACAGACTATCAAAGGAAGTTTCTGCCGTCATAAAAAGGTAAAGGTTCCCTTGCTCGAAAGCCAGTCGAGTCCGACTCTAGGGTTGCGCGGTGCTCATCTCCGTTTCAAAGCCGAAGAGCCAGCGCTGTCCGGAGACGTTTCCATGGTCATGTGGCTGGCATGACTAAACACCAAGGCGCACAGAACGCTGTTCCCTTCCCACCAAAGCGGGACCTATTTATCTACTCCAGCTGTAATTCCTTTGCAACCTGACTCTGAATACATTTGCTTGCGAGTCTCCTTGATTTTGATGGAACCATAGACAAGATCTAGCCCAAATTAAGCACTTTTACAGGGTTGTCCTAAGCAGAGTTCACCGTACTCAATGATGCCCTCGCTGACTTCAGGGGGCTGAGAAGGGTGTGACTTCTGAAGGCTGCACTGTTAGAAGCCCAATGAGTGGGATCCTGTGGCTCTATTCTGCCAGCAGAGACGGCTTCCTGCATGGGAAGGAGACTTTCCCTGATGCAAGACACTCCCAAGCCCTTTCCACAGAAAGAAAGCACCTCAACGACTGGAATGGATCCAGTGGCTCCAACCTAATGCTTCCACACACGTTTAGCGCTGCTATGCTAACTCTGTGCTGAGAAATTCCTGGCAACCTAGGGGCGGGGCCTGGGGAGGGGAGGGGCCGCAGCAGGGCACAATGCCCGGAGAGAGAGCGCCCACCCTCCAGAGCAGCCTTTTTCCTCAGGGGAACTGATCTCTCTCCCTGCTAGAGACTGGATGTCATCCCAGGAGATCTCCCGGCCCCACCTGGAGCCCGGCAGCTCTCCACGTGCTGGATCATGGCCTTCATTTCCAAGCAAGGCTGTAATGTCTTGGAAGGAATTCCAACAAGTGTTGTTCTACTTCAGTTTAAGCTTCAGGGAGGGTCCAGATGAAAGTGAGATGACTGATGAATGTGAAGCGTGGCTATTCACAGTCTAAAATTTCAATCCTATGTACTCTTACTTGGGAGTAAGCCCAACCAAACTCAGGGGGACTAACATCTGAGTAAACCCACCTAGAATTTGTCTGCACACCTAATGCTGCTCATTATGACAACATTTAATCCACTTATTTCAATGGCTTTGTTATTGATTTTCAGAAGATTGGTAACTATTCCTAATTATGGTTTTCAGGTGAACAAAACGGCACATTTAATCAACCTGACACAGTGTATGCTAAAATGTACCATTTTAGAAGAAATGTGCAATTGCCTCTTAAAAGCCCAATGAGTGGGATCCTGTGGCTCTATTCTGCCAGCAGAGACGGCTTCCTGCATGGGAAGGAGACTTTCCCTGATGCCAGACACTCCCAAGCCCTTTCCACAGAAAGAAAGCACCTCAACGACTGGAATGGATCCAGTGGCTCCAACCTAATGCTTCCACACACGTTTAGCGCTGCTAACTCTGTGCTGAGAAATTCCTGGCAACCTGGGGGCGGGGCCTGGGTAGGGGAGGGGCCGCAGCAGGGCACAATGCCCAGAGAGAGAGCGCCCACCCTCCAGAGCAGCCTTTTTCCTCAGGGGAACTGATCTCTCTCTCTGCTAGAGACTGGATGTCATCCCAGGAGATCTCCTGGCCCCACCTGGAGTCCGGCAGCCCTACATGTGCTGGATCAGGGCCTTCATTTCCAAGCAAAGCTGTAATGTCTTGGAAGGAATTCCAACAAGTGTTGTTCTACTTCAGTTTAAGCTTCAGGGAGGGTCCAGATGAAAGTGAGATGACTGATGAATGTGAAGCGTGGCTATTCACAGTCTAAAATTTCAATCCTATGTACTCTTACTTGGGAGTAAGCCCAACCAAACTCAGGGGGACTAACATCTGAGTAAACCCACCTAGAATTTGTCTGCACACCTAATGCTGCTCATTATGACAACATTTAATCCACTTATTTCAATGGCTTTGTTATTGATTTTCAGAAGATTGGTAACTATTCCTAATTATGGTTTTCAGGTGAACAAAACGGCACATTTAATCAACCTGACACAGTGTATGCTAAAATGTACCATTTTAGAAGAAATGTGCAATTGCCTCTTAAGAATTTTACAATGGTACCACTAATCTTCTTTCCCCCCAGAATTTGTCCATTTTAACCCACATATTTCTACAAAGAAGTTTTGATGTAATAACTGAACATCTCCCCAGACAAAGTAAGCACAGATTTCAGTGGAGGAGACTGAAATGCATGCTTCACTCTACTGCTGGAAAAGAATTTTAAAATTCTTTGCCTGGATTGGGCCTACTGCTATTCATTAATTCTACAGCACCTTTTCAATGAATGTCCAGAGCTTTGCAGTTCTCATCTGGAATCTATTCCTTAGCAAAGCATGAAGCAAGGTACAGACATCTCCCACAGTTTAAAACCACATTCAAGTATCTTTGGTCACATGAACATCTTTGAAATGTCTAAAAAATAAATGAAATTGTCCCTACATCAAGGCATTTTTCACAACGCAGAACAAGAACTAGGTGCATTTCCTAAGGACTCTGATTTCTTTCCACTGCAGGGAATCAATCTTGCAAAACCTTGCTTGGATAATTCCAAGCAAGATGCACTGTACCAAAAGAATCCTGAAAACAATATACATAATAAGATAAAGGGGAACGTCTACAAGTACATACTGCAGGGCAGGGAGGTGAAACACATGCTGCAACGTACAACCGCAGCTGATACTTAGGAAATAACATACAAACAAGCTTTATTTTTTTAAAAATGCCATCCAGGGAAGCGCCACTTTGTGCAAAGGAATGCAGAGATTTAACTCTCTAGTTAAACTGGTCAAAAAATAACCAGGGTGACAGTCAAGCATGGAAGACTCTGTCACGACGCCCTCAGCTCGCCTTTCGGAGAGGCAGCAGACGGGCCTTGGCTGATCTCACATTGGCTGCCTCAGAAGCCACCGGACACTAATAATAGACCGAGCAGCTCACCACCAGGAGATTCATACCGTAACACATTCACAGACAGAAATCAATTTTTTAACAGAAAAAAAACACAACACACCCTGATATGGGCACGCTCTCTCGCTCTCTCTCTCTCTCTCACACACACACACACAACTGGGGGCTGGTCCATCTGCACCGGACGCAGCAAAAGGTACAGCTGTTATCAACGAAGCCCGTTTACCTGGTAAATGACAACGCGGAACTTGTTTTTCCGCAGCATCTCCTCTTGCTTGGCTTCAACTTTCTGCACATCGGAGCCCTGCTTTTCGACACGCGCCCGCACTTCTTTGACGCGAGCACTAACTTTGCGAGTCTTCTGCAGCAGCTTGTTTATGGTGTAGACGGTACCGCCGTGAGCCTGAGCGAGCTTCAGCAGGTCGATCTGGATGGTCTTGATGGCCTCCTCCATTTCCCGGTGTCTCTCTTCGATGCGCCTTTGGCTGGCCTGCACGCTGTCCACAATGGTGGCCACTTTGTCCAGGACCCGGACAATGGTAAACGCCGCGTCTTGCTCCTCCTCATCGTCCGTGATGTTGGACAGGCGGTTCTGGTGGATTTTGTCCATCTCCACGGTAGCTTCACGGTGATCCATGCTGCCCAACTTCAGCTGGTACACAGGAGCTGAAATACAAGCTCTCCTCGCGACAGCCGTTCGAGCCTCAGCAGGGCGATTCTGGCACCAGGGCAAGAAGTTTGCTCGACAGCTGGCTTTAGGGGAATGTTCAAAGGCAGGGTCTGAAACTCCACCCAAGCGACTTGTCCAACATTTATAACTACAAAACACCCATGTGTTGATTGTTCAAGCCCTTTTTGCAATATGAAGCCTCTAAAATTAGGAAGCAATGCCGGGAAGGGAACATACGGACAACGAATAGTGTTCATGTACCGATTAATTCACTCAAGTTAATCCAAGAATAGCTAAGCACCTTACTAATAAATCCAGAGAACTGGCACTGTTAAGATCCACTGTTGCTTTTCTGTTTTAATTAAGCCCTTTTCTTGAGTAGCAGCCTGGGTGGAGTTCAGTGTTTTCCAATAGACTTTTGGTTATTTGAAAACTAACAAACAGAACAATAATTCTGCCACGAAGGCTTCTCTTTCCAGTAATGAATAAACACACTCAGAACAGATGGAATATCGTTGGAAAACACTGTATTCACATGCCTTTCTGATTCAAATATTGAAAGCCTTTTTATTGAACAGGTTATTCAATCCTACATGCAGAATTGGAAAGCCTAAAACTACAGGCTGAATGGCTGGAACACACCCTAGTTACATTTTAGCTCTGTATCATCCAAACAACTACTAACATTCTATTAATATAATACCTACAACTAGAAGACTCGTATTTGGATGAGACGCAGTCCTAGCTCTTGAAAATAGTCTAGACAAGAGCGCAAATCTTCAATGCCATTTAATCATTTTTCTTTTTTTTGTTTTGTTTTGTTTTGCATTTTAATCACAAAGACTATACAATTTGTATTTGCTGATGTGAAAACAGGTACCTCTTTAGAAAACTGTAGTAAGTATGAAAGCAGTTTAAACAGAGATCAATGCAGGCTGGACCCCAGTGACATCAGTCTGATTTTTCAACAGAACATGTTCTTAAAAAACAACGCACAAGTCTAACCAAGACCTGTTTCTGTAGCACAAATGGCCTCTGCTTTACTGGGCTATTTTTTTCCAATTACGAAACGTATATTATCATCAATTTTCTTTACAATTTAAAAATAAAGTGTCAAATATTTATGAAGACAGTGGTAATCTGACCCAGTCCGTACATGTTATAAATATGTTACAACTACATACAAGTACACATCTTCACAATTCATGCAACTGGCAGCATCTAAAAAAATCATTTACTAACTTCCAAAAACATTTAAATATCTACGTCATTTAAGCACAGTGTCTTCTAGTTCCTTGTAAGAAAAGTAGGCTGTAAACATTTTGACCCCTTCGGTCGGGCCCAGTTCTCTAGGAAACGTGACCCCCCCCCCCCCCACTCGTTTCTTCCACAAACCACTGATGGAACGTCTCTGTTCTTCCAAAAACGGTTACATTCCATGAGTAAACCACAAGTCTGTTATAACCATGTGATACGAGTATCAGAAAATCAAATTACTGTATTCTCCAAATTGTAAAATGAGAAATTACTTGAGCTGTCCACAGTTTCAGTTGCTTCCGGAATAAAACAAAAGCACAGCCACACCCCAAAAAAGTCCAAAAATAAGGCCTCTGAAATAAATATTTCCATTCTTTTAAAAAAAGATAATTAAAATGTACATCACATGGTCAATATGGGTATAAAAATTATGCTAAACCATTCTGGATGATGTATCTGAAGTGAAGTGGCCTAAATTTTGCTTCTGCCGCCGTCCCCTGTTGTTTTTGGGGCATTTCCTGTTGTTGGGAGCAAAAAGAAAGAGTCATTTCTTAAGCAACTGTATTTTTTAAAAAAGACAATTAATTACACACAAATAAAAGAGGGAGGGAGAGACACATCTGAAAACCGGAAAAGAAAAGGTACACAGTACCAGAGGTCACAAAAAGGCACAACGCCATTTGTATTTGTAACAGTTGCTACAGAAATTCCATTGACTTTTTTGGACCGTTTCATTGTTTCTGCTGTCTAAGGGGCTTATATTGTTTATGCATTGACCAGTTGGAACTGGGGGTGTGCAAAAAAAAACCCGGGGGGGTCCCCCGATTCAGGTCTACTGGACCTGAAAAATATCGGTATTCCCAAATATTCCTGAATACCAGTATCTGTTTTGTATTGAGATTCAGGTAAATATTTGGGAAAGCTTGAATTTATTTGGCTCCATTATATCCTATGGAGAAGGGATTGAAAATTAAATGCTTGCTGAGTTCCTTGTAAGAAAAGTAGGCTGTAAACATTTTGACCCCTTCGGTCGGGCCCTTCGGTTTGCTGAGTCGCACCGCAGCAGCGAGTGAACTCAGCAAGCATTTAAAGTTTAAATTGCCCAAGTGAACTCAGAAGGGATTTAAAACGACCACATATTAAATGGCTTCTAGCTGTGCCCAAATAAAAACAGAATAATATTGGCTTTTATGCAGGTGCGGCTATTTCGGTAGCCAAATACAGATCTCTAAATAAATACCGTACCTGAAAAGTACTGATAAGGTATTTTCCGGGTATTTATTTGGCTCGTTATATACTCACCACACACCCCTAACTGGAATTGCTTCACTGTTTTGGATTTGGGATTTTTCACGGAAGTTATCTTTTATTTACAAACGGACTGGATTTTCTGTAGTAACTGTGACCAATATAAAGGGGTTTTTTGCCTTCTTGTAACCTCTCGTACTGTACGTTTCTTCCTCTTTACACACAAAACAACCAGACTGTGGCAGGGCTACAGCCCTCGTCGTTGAGACCCGCTGCAGAAGCCAGGCGTGTTGGCCCTTGGTGGTCTGCTGCAACTATGCCTCTCTGTTTATCACACTCCTGTAGTGACTGGTGATGGAACAACAGAAGAGCACGACATGGATATATCTTCAACCATGCTGGTTTATGTAGGACTTTTCTAGCCCTGGTTTCAAGAAGAGTGATCCAAGGGAGTTTGCAACCACAAGCCCAGACGGATCCCAACAACCCACTCTGCAAACAGCCGTCCTTTCCTTGGCCAGGGGGGAGCCTGTCCCAAGGTGCAAAAGAGCGAGCAGCTCCCCTCGCTGGAGGAAAGCACTGCCTGGAGAGCAGTGCTTTTTTTGTAGAAAAAGCCCAGCAGGAACTCATTAGCATATTGGGCCACACCCAACAACAGGACCTCATTAGCATATTAGGCCACACCCCTGACAGCACAGCTCATTTGCATATTAGGCCACACCCCCATGTTACCAGAACTGTGGTCATCCAACCACACCCACGTTTTGCTTCTTATTCTCTTTACCTTGTTGTCAAAATCCAGGGCTTTTTTGGGGGGGAGCAGGAACTCCTTTGCATGTTACCCCTAATTGTAGCCAATCATAATGAGTCTCTGCTGTTGGGTGTGGCCTATTATGTTAATGAGTTCCTGCTGGGCGTGGCCAACTTGGGAGCCAGCTGGAACTGCGTTCCTGTGCGTTCCTGCCCAAAAATAGCCTTGCTGGAGAGTGTACCTAACAATGTTTTGCTTCTTTGAATTTTTCATGTTGGTATTTTTTAAAATGTCTTATTTGACTTTACTGGCTTAGAGAGTAATCCTAAACAGGCCCACTTACAATCCTACTCAGGTTTCTTCAATCAGGCATCCCCACAAGCAAAGTGTCTGCAGGATGGCACCATTTCTAGGGTGGATCCAGCCATCCCTCCAAACAGCCTCCCTCCAACTTCTTCTATGGAAGAGGAAGCCTTTGTACACTGGTGGGAGGCTTCACACTTGAGACAATTTGAAAGGTGGGGTATAAATCCTCTAATAAATAAATACATAAATAAATGGGTTCTAGATTAAATCAAGCCCTAACAGCTCAGATGACTAAAGCGAAACTATGGTACTTTGGTCACCTCATGCGAAGACCAGGCTCACTGGAAAAGAAGGCGACCATGCTAGGAAAAGCAGAGGGCGGCAGGGAAAGGGGAAGACCCGACACGAAATGGATGGACCCAAGGAACAAAAGCAGGCCCTTCCGTTTGCAAGGCCTGAGCCAGGCTGTCCATGATAGGATGTTTCGGAGGTCATTCATTTGTAGGGTTGTCAGAAGTCAGAAGTGACTGGACAGCACGTCACATACACAAGCGAATAGCCTTTGCTCAGTGGAGTGTGGTGAGACGGGGGCATGGTCCATCCCGCTGCTTTTTCTGTGCTTAAACGGACTAGTAAAAAACCCCAGCAATGTGTGCAAAGCCTCACAACGATCGCCACCAGTTAGCTGAAGCACGGCACATGCAGATTTATTTATTAATTGTTCCGCTTGTACCCCGTCCTCCCCGCAAAGCAGGCTTGGGGCGGCTTACATTCATTCATGGGGTACTGAGCTGCCCCCAACTGCTTACAACCCCCAGGTGTTGAGAACGGTGGTGGTGGTGGTGCTGGTGGTGGTGGGCAGGGCCCTCAAAATGCAGCCGACCGAAGGGGACCCCGTAGGGTTTCCAAGGCAAGAGACGTGCAGCAGCGGTAGCGTCCCGGCCCTTCCTTGGTGGTCTCCCACCCAAGTACTCACCAGAGTCGACCCTGCTTCGCTCCTGAGATCTGATGAGGTCAGACTAGCCCGGGCCGCCCCGGTCAAGGCACCCTCTGCCTTCGGGAAGTCAAGTCCCAACGTGAACAGCTGTGGGAACTGGAAGCGGCCCTCCCCGCTGTGTCTTCACCACACAGCCACTGCGGATCGATTACACTCCACCAGTGTTCCCTCTAAGCTGAGTTAGTGTGGGCTAGCTCACAGATTTTTTAGCCTCCGGCTCACACATTTTTGGCTTAGCTCAGGAAGGATGGGGCTCCAGAGCAAACTAATTTATGCAGCAGCCAAATCACCTGCTCACAACTTCAATGCCAGTAGTTCACAAAGTAGAATTTTTGCTCACAATACTCCACAGCTTAGAGGGAGCATTGCAGTCCACATGTTTTAACCACGATTGGCAGCTGGCTCACTTAGCCAGCGATCCCCTCCCTCTCCCTTGCTAACCTCATATGGCCGTCTCGTCACACGGTGCCAGACGAAGGGTCCAGAAGGAGGGCAGAGCCTCCACTGCTAGAAACCAGCAGCCAAATTCTGGCAAATGGAGGCTGCACTCCTGCATAGGTTTACTTCAGAATCAATTCTTGTTGATAATCTCCCTCAAGGCGGTCCACACTGCTGGCTTTAGGGATCCTCTCGGTTCTAATGTAGGAGCTTCCAAACACAAACACATCCTGAACCTTTAAATCCCTTAACTGTACTCTGAAGCCCACACTGGAAACTATAGGAAACTGGGCTGTGAAGAGGCAAGGTACCAAGGTTTCAATAGCAATATAAAGTGGAAACAAGGACAAAGTCATTCTCCAGCATGGTTTTCCTAGCAACTTACCGGGTTATGCACATTACAATGGCAACAATAATGGCAA